CTCAGAATTAAGCATTTTAGACCTTCACTTCTGTAACATGAATAGTTATGTTTGTGATGAGGAAACCAGCAAGTCCTGAAAGGTCAACTGTTTATTATTTTTAATAATACATAATTAGCTAACATTGTGTATGTTCAGTGTGAGGTACATATATAACACTGCCTGTTTTTTTACAGATAGAAATATGGAAAAGCCTGTGTTCATGAAAAATATGACAACTGGTTTCAGCTGGCAGTTTCTTGATTTTTACAGGGTTGTATACTCACAATTTTAAATAACGTAGGTTAATCTGAATATATGAAAACCATGGCTTAGTCTCCTGCAATCTTTTATTCATGGTCACATTTTTGCTAACTTGAATGTAAAATCAGGGCTCCATTAACCATTTTTAAAACCAGTTATGTCTTAAATACATGATTCTTGCTTAAGAAAATGCAAAGAGACAGTAGCAAGGCTAAAATTAGAATTCAGGAGCTCTAGCTTCCAAGGCAAGGCATATTATGCTATATCTTTTCAGTAGCATGGGCATTTTCTATTAGCAAAAATGGCTTGCAGAATAAATTCTATAATGTAAAATCTTCCTTCAAAATTCAGAGCTGGATGACAACATTGTGTTTCCTCAGCAAATTTAACGAACCCAACAATTAAAGGAAACAGTCAGGAACAAGACAAATAATTAATTCCCATGAAAATTAAATGACTATATCATCACAATTTATAGTTGTGATACTATACCCAAACTACACCACTGCTTTTCAAAAAAAAAAAAAAAGAGTCAAAATAATAATATATTGAGTTACTGTAACCTGCTCAAAGCATATCACAAAATCATTCTCTAAAAAAATACTTCTGTGGAACAAAACTGCTTGTATAAAGCTCACATTGAAAGTGATCAGGTTATATGGAACATTTCATTTTTCATGAATACCTGTGAAGATAGTATGAATATGAATCATGGTCTCTGTTTGAAGAATAAGGCTATCAACAGCCAAAATCTAGAAAATGGAATTTCAAAAACATGACAAATGGTTTACCTCAAGAATATTCCAGCAAAAATCTTTGGCCTTTGTGATATCTCCACACCCAGCAAATTACAAGCAAATGAAGAACTGCACAGTTGGAAAACTTTATAGTATAACTAGCTAGAGCAAAGAATCATTTGCATGTGCAGGTTTTACACTGAACAGGATGATTTTTTAAAACTGTATAATTTATACTGTTTTCAGACAGATTTTTAAAGCCAACACTTTACATTCTGCTTATGTCTGCTGAAATACTGTGCATTCTGTATGTATGACTGTTTGGATAGCTTAGTTACTCCGGACAAGAACTTACTACAGAGAAATACTTGGTTTAATAGATTTGTAATTTTACAAATAATTTCTCTGGCATTTGTCTAGCACAAAGGCTCCTGTGCACCTAGCAAATGCACATAACTAAAAGCATTTTAAAACAGACAACGCAGCTAAGTAACAAAATGAGTACTGAAATCTGCATAAGGTATCTCCTATCTCCTCAGGATTCCAGCTTGGGTGAGATCCACATTTCTTAAAAAAGACGAAAACAAAAAGCAGTTATCCCTGTCCAGAAAACTCTATAACCATTTCCTACTTAACCATGTTATACTATACAATAGCGCTCAGGTGATCTGGCCATTTTAATTCCGTGTTCCCCTCTCCTTGTTTTCATTAGAGAAAAGTCATAATATATCATTATATATTTATATTGTAGAGAGAGAACAGAGATTAAATCTGCAAAATTAATTAGAAACATTCAAATAAAACTGGCATTGTTGAGCTTCTGGAATAAGGCCAATCTGAACTAAATTTATCTACCTCTAGCATCTCTTTTTTCAGGGCAGAGGGAGAAGAGGAGAAAGAGGAGGGAAAGAAAGGACTTCCAGAGGCCCATTGAGAACTAAAGTGCCTGCTGAAAACTGTAATGTCTGTTATATAGTCTTATACACCAAAGTCCCATAAATATAAAGGACTGGAAGATAGAGTTGATTGGTAATCGAATACACAACATTTCACCTCGAGGTCACTGTTTCCTGTCTGTGCTGTCTGGTAGCAACTTGAAAGTTATAACCTTATGTGGGGGAGCTTGAACTTCCTCTAAAAAAATCAGACTGCAGACCTGCCTTTCAGAGAGCTCTTTTACTTTAAAAGTATCACAGAATCACAGAATGCTTAGGGTTGGAAGGGACCTCTAGAGATCACCTAGTCCAACCCCCCTGCTCCAGCAGGGACACCTAGAGCACGTGGCACAGGGTGGCATCCAGGTGAGTTTGGAAGATCTCCAGAGAAGGAGACTCCACAACCTCTCTGGGCAGCCTGTTCCAGGGCTCTGCCACCCTCACAGGAAAGAAGTTCTTCCTCACATGGAGGTGGAACTTCCTGTGTTTCAACTTACACCTGCTACCCTCATCCTGTCACCAGCCACCACAGAGAAGAGCCTGGCCCCATCCTCCCTACAATCACCCCTCAGATATTTGAACATGTTAATCAAATCTCCTCTCAGCCTTCTCTTCTCCAGACTAAACAGGCCCAGCTCGCTTAGTCTTTCCTCATATGGTGAATGCTCCAGTCCCTTAAACATCTTTGTGGCTCAAATTCCTGTACCTTCCTCACACAGATGTGAGCACTATGCCCACAGCCCCCCTGGGGTGACCAGGCAGGATATCCGAGCGCAGCATCACTGCTCGCTGAGAACAAAGAACCGGACAGATTATCAGGGGCGAATCCTCCCTTCGTACTTTCGTGACAGCCCGTACCCAAGCAGACCAACTTTTCGGGTGCCACGGCACGGCAGGCCCCCGGGCCATAGCTGCGAGCTGGTAGCCCCGAGGCAGCCCGCCCAGCACCGCACGACGAGCATGGGCCGCCAGGCACCGAAGAGCCGAAGAACCGGGGAAGGGCGCTACCCTCGGGCAGCCCGTTACGGGCCAGCCCGGCATCTCCCCAACAGGCGGCCGCGAAGCACCTCAGCGCAACCGTTACCGCACCGCGACCATTACAGCCACCCCCCTCCTGCCACACCAACCGCGCATGCGCGCACTGCCGCCTTGCCTTTCCCCTCTGCGCTCTCTGTAGGGCCGCTGTGCAGCGCGCGCAGGTGCAGGCGTCGCCCGTGGCCCCGGTGTCGCCCGGGCGGCAGGAGGGACGGGCGGGGAGGCGGGACTGGACTGGACGGGGACCCCACCTTGGAGCTGTCGGGAGGAGGAGGGCGGCACGGTACGTGTTGGGGCGGTGCTGAGCGGTCCGTGCGAGTTTCGGGGAGGAGAAGGGCGGCACTAGGGTTCGCTCGGCTGCCAGCAGCCCGCTATCTCCTTACATTTGCCAATTTCCTAAAACACGTCGCTCTATTTAAAGCATATGTGAGAACTGCAGGGCCTTTATGTGCGCTGTGCTTACTGCCGTTTTGCAATTCATCATCCTGGGCTGGGAAACATGGGGATTGCGGACATATTTATAGAGTCTGTTTTCCTTATTTCCTCCTTCTCAGCCAGGTAACACTGGTTAGCAGGGGCTTGGGTTAGCTGCCATTGAAAATAATGTGTTCGGAAGTGCTACGTAGATAATTTATGGCATGGGCAGACAGGAAGATGTTGCTATTTAGGGCCAAATCCTGAAAAGTAATGAACACTGCTTGAGGTGTTGCGGCCCTCTTGGTAAAACAAGATGTAGAGTGGTTGTAGTTCCTGCTAAGTATTTCTGTATGGTGCTGCAGTGGTACCTGGTGTCTATAAAAGGATTGGAACAGCCATGTTTTTAACACATCCTCTCTGAAAGGAGAGAGAGCAAAAAAAAAAAAGGGGGGGGGGGAGAAAGGGGCAGTCTGATACAGCCTTAGTATGATCTTTACAACTGGAGTTGAGAAGCGTGTGAGTAGTGAGGAAGGTGCTTATGAAAGCACGTTGTGCTAGGGCTGCCAGGTAGGAGCTGTGCTGCCTGTATGAGCAGGAGGAACTGCTTTGGCAGGGCTCTTGTGGCCTCGGACACCAGTAATGTTAGTTTTCTCCATGCTCTTTGTGGAGCCATCCTGTTCCCCAAGGAAGAGATGGCAGGCCACACACACAGACTCAGCCACTGAGTGGCATTCAACTTTTTTGATGGACTGATAAGGGAATGTGGACCACATCTGGTGTGTTGTGTCCAGTTCTTGACTCTCTGGTGCAAGAAAGACATGAACACACTGGAGTGAGTCCAGCGAAGGCCCATGAAGACATTTAAGGGACTGGCGCATCTCATATGCAAGAGGAGGCTGAGGGTTGGGGCTGTTCAGCCTATAGAACCGAAGGCTGAGGGGGATGTTAGCAGTGTGTTAGACAGGAAAGAACTTTGAGGATGAACAGTGGAACAGTTGCCCATGAAAGCTGTGGGAGGTCTCCATCCTTGGAGATACCAAAACCCAACTGGTTGTGGTCTTGAGAAACCTCCTCTCGTTGACCCTAATTTGATTGGGGGAGTTTGGACTAGACAGTCTCAAAAGGTCCCTGCCCTGCTGTAGTTGAAGAAATCTTTGTTTTAGTTTAAGCAACACAGTTTTCTTATGTTGTTTTCTTGTTTTACTATTGAGTTGCTATGTATCAGTGAATTTTTAGTTTTTATTTCATCTATCAGTACTAACATTTAGTTTGTTCTGCAGATATTCTTTAATATGGCTGATGAAGAAGACTTCTTTTTGGAAGAAAAAAAATTCAAGCAGTGCTGTGAAGAATTTATTAAACATTTACAGAAAATAGGAGATGGTTGGGAGTGGAGAATTAGCAAGGTAAAATAATCAAAGTATTAGTAAATAGTTCCTACCTAATCCTGTTCTCAATTTTTAGATACCCTTGCTTTAGATACTCCTTGACGGTTTGGCATGTTTTCCAATCCTTTAATCATTCTTGTAGATCTCTTCTGAATCCTTTCCAGTATATCAACATCCTTCTTCAGCTGTGGATGGAATGAGACAGCGGATGTTGTATCAATATTAGATTCAGATGTTACAACCTTCCTACTCCTTCCAAGTTTCTTTGGTTATATACCCAAGGATCACTTTAGCCCTTTAAGCTAAAATGGCAGATGGTGAGCTCCTGTATAGCTAATAAACCTTTGCAGGGGGTTGTGCCTAAGGACTGAATCCTTCATCCTCCAGTCTTTGTTCTAGATGTGTGACTTTGTATTTTTTATTAAAATGCTTGTTATTTGCTTGCTCACAGCACCCAGTAAAATCTCTGTATTAGTGATTAATCCTCATTATTTACTGCTTCCCCATTGTTTTCAAACCTCACCAATAATAATTACATATTGTTTCTAGGTCATTAATCAAAATTTTAAGTAGCATGGAGCCAAACTAATCCCACAGGACCCCATTAGAATCATTTCTTTTATGATTCTCCATTTTAAAGTTACATTTAAGATCTGTGAGTTAACCATTTTTTCATCTTTTTAGAGTGTCATGTTTATTTTGGATTATTTTAATTATTTAATTTCTGCTTGTGGAGTCTATAGATGCCTTATGGAATTTTATGTATATACTGTCCCCACTTTTATTTTTATCAACCAAATAGATCTTTTTACCTTGACAAGATCTATTTTTATTAAAAATAATTGCATTTACTGGCTTCAGTTTTTCATTAATTGAATTCTATATCAAATCATCCCTGCTTGGGATGATGTCAAGCTAATATGCATATAGTCACTCAAGCTATCCAGTATATATATATAAAACATATATTGGTACATGCTGGCATTCTCTCAAGTTCTCTGAAACTTCCACAGTGGTCAAAGACTCAAAAGCAAATCAGCAGTTCTTGTGTGCTGATTTAAGAATATCTAATGATAGCTACTTCATGTTACTGTCCTGCTTAACCACTCCTGAAATGAAACTTTCTTAACAATTGTAGAATATGGCCACATCACTTATATTTTTCTCCAAAAACAACAGAAATATTTTGAACGCTTGCTTTTTCTATTTTAAATGCTTCTGTTATTTACCATCTGTTTTAGGATTTTTTTTCCCATACATTTTTTTGACTGGGTGGGCAACATTATACATTAGCATTTGTAACTCTTTCGTCACAGTTAAAAATGAATTGTAATAAGAAGTGGGATCTTGTTTGTAGATATATTCTTTTCAGAACACATCTGGGTTTTTTAAACATTGAAAATATTAGCCAAGTGTTACAATGCTCCCTTTCTTGCAGGCAACCATTTGAAACTTTAGGTTTCTGTCCAAGGCTATATTTATGAGGGATTTATTCTGCAAAGAAAGATGCTATGAGCTTCTGTCAGGAATTCAATGCATGGGTATTAACTCTATAATCTAGCTAAATCTCATCAGTGTATGTTGTCCTTTCACCTGCTTTCTGTTTTATATGTTTAGTTAGGTTAATCTAGGTAATGATATCAAGGGCTATATTGTTTCACTTCTGTTTGTGATGCTCGCTTATAAGGCGATTGGAGTAGAAAGGAACTCTCTTTACCAGTTTTGAGGATCAAAGTCTATGCTAAAGTATTGATTTGTTTATAGGGAAAGAATATGTTCGCTATGAAGAGTGCAACAGGAGCAATGCCTCTCCTGCCGCCCTTTCACCTCTCATGTATAACTAGCAATTGCAGGGGAGGCTGCTGACTCCATGTGTTATCAGCTGTCCATAGATATTGTTCATGGCATTCAAATGCTGTAGATTGTAAAGGCTATAGAGCTTTGGTGAGTTCTTTTCCCTCTCTCTCAGGAAAAACTGGTTCAGGGAGGTGAGTCCAACCCTTCCTTCTCAGGTAGAGTTCATGGTGCCTTGGGACAGTTCACCTCTGTGGGCGGCAGCAGTACTTTCTCTGCTGTTCTCAGGGGGATAAATACCAAGGCAGGCAGCTTTGCTCCCATTGATTTTTCATGGGAAGCTCCACAGCAAGGAGACGCTTCAGAGAGGTTAGAATAAGTGACTTTTGGGTTGCTGAGTTAGGCCTAGTTTTTCTATCACTGTTGTCCTATTGTATGTTTGACTTTCCAGAGCAGAGGATGCTGTTGGTTCTACAGTAGGACATCCAGCAGTTTGGAGGATTCATGCTCTTGATGATATTTAGTGGGAAAATAAAGCATAGCGGTAAGAGAAGTTATGAGCAAGATAATACCATAATACCAATCTCATAATACTATCCATGCTTAAAAAATGATAGAGAAAAATGCAAACCAGTAACATTATCATTTTGTTTCAGGTATGAAGCTTGTTAAGAGCAAAGTACACAAATAGCCCATAACAGGTGCTGGAATTAGATATATTCTACAATATCACTGAAAAGACAGAACTAAGGTGTTGCAGCTTGGAGCGGGTCAGGAATGCCAGACATGAACTTCATAGAAGCTGGAACTGACTTCGTATATTAGCTTACATGCAGTACATTTATATGATTCTAACGGTTAGTGATGTAATTACACAGGCTCCTAATTGGTAGACAATGATCTAACTAAGACCCTTACAGCCCCCCTTACTTGTTTAGCTCATCCTTTTAGTTCAACAGCTCTTTTATTCCCTCTTGCCTTGGTCTACTTCCTTATCTCCTAGTTAGCAGTCCCTTTGTTCTTTCACTGAAACCTGAAAGTCCGGATTGAGCAGGCCGCCTGGGCAGCCATGTCCGCGGCTCTCTAACCATTCCTCTATACTAAGGTGTCAGAATAGAACACATGTTGATTTGCAAGTCAGAATACATGAAATAAACTGTGTCAGAAATGATAGATTAACCAGAGAGTTGTCATATTTAAATTTACAGCCTTGTCAGGCAATTTAATGGTATATTAATGAATTTTGTAGAAAGACTGCTTTGAATAGAATCCTTTTACATCAGATGTTGCACATATGCTTTTTGTATTTGTTTGTCTAAAATAAAATGTAATGAAACAGCTAATAAAATCCAAATTTATTCGTTTCCTCTGAGAAATGTCCTTAACATGCAACTACTGTTCTTTGTGTTCTGTGTGCTCTTTTTCTTTTTCAGAGTGTGCACAGTGATCTGTTATTAAACTTTTTTCTCTCCTCTTATTTCTAATTGATGAAATAATGTTTATATATGTGTGAAAACAGTCAGGTCAGCAAGGGGGAAAAGCCCTTAAAAGCTTCTTCTGCTATTGTGAAATTGCAGAGAGACCTTTTACAACAGCAGACCACGTGGCCAGGAAAATAGAGTGATAAAAAGGGAATGGGAGAAGGTATGGCTATAGCTTTGTCTGCATTTGACCCTCAGAGCTGATTAGGAGAAAGAAATTGTGACTCTGCGGACAATTTTTTTTTTTTTTTTAAGGACTGCATGAAAGTTAGTGGGGGAGCAAAACTAATATAAATAAAGTATTAAGAATTGGGAACTTTATAGTGGTATGAATGCATTGCTTGAAATAGGTCAAATCATTGTCAGCTATTTAGTTCTATGCGACCTTCATGCACTGCTTCCAACACTTTGGCACTAATCTTGGTCCCCATGTATCAGTTGACTCATTCAGTTAATAGATATGTTAAATTTTATTTTTGCTGTTCAGATCTTTGACTTGCTTAACACTGAGAACTTGTCCAAACTACCTGTGAGGAGATGCTGAAAAGCAACGCAATCATTGGTGCCTGCAAAAAGATGTAGAGCTTATGCCTAATTATCATGCTGTGTTTATTTTCTACCACATTGATAGCATTTAGCTTTTTGGCTACAGAAAATATTTTTCTGTTTTCTGAACACAGGACTTTGCTGATGGTTATCTTAGTAAAACACACTTCCAAATAACAAATAGAAATGTCCCACCAGATCTCAAGGAGAAAAACAATGATAACATTGAACAAACCTTATTTATGCATGTTGAAGTAAGTACATATTTTTGTATTTATAAACTTCGGGATTTATAAAATAAATCATGAACATTTATTGTTATTTTTATTATTATACTATTAAATACTCTAATACCTAGTTCCTCCAGAAGGATTTCAGGTCTTAAGTTATCAGTGGCTTTTAATAATTTTTTATACAGGTTTTATACATGCAGATAAATTGGAGATGAAAATTGAGACAAAGTGGAAAGGTTACAGCACCTTAGATATGTGATATTTTCATCATGGAAGGATGTTTTTTGTGTAATAATTCACTACCATTAAACTTTTTGAAATGGATTAAGCATCAAGATATAGTTATGTTAAAGGTAAATATTAATTAAAGAAAATGTTGAGGTTAATGTTAATCTAAAGTGATATTTACTGAAGAAATAAGTCATATATAGGAGCTTTATATTCACAGGGCTACTGGTATTAGTAGTTGGGCATCTTTCTATTACGGCACAAATTCTTGCAAATATTGAGCAATTATTTTAACCACTGATGGAAAGAAAAAAAGTGATTTGGAGTTCTTGAAGAAAAATAAACTTCTTCCAGAAAACAAATAGTGTTCATTAAGCTCAAGATGAATTGATTTGAAGAATTATTTGCTTGTTTGACTCTGCATTAGACATCCAGATTACAACTAATCAAGATATAAACAGAAGAAATGTTATGTTATTATCATATATGTGAAATGAAATTTTGGGTTTTAATCGATTGAAATTCAAACTGTTGAATTCATTGACAGGTATATTTTCAGTATTCAGTTACTTCCTTTCTGTGATAATTCCTTCTCTTTTTTATTAGAACATTGATTTTCCCAGAGAACTCTGCTACATGGTCTGAAATGAGTATTCTTTTGGCTTGTTTCCTGAAGGAAATGATACTTATAAAATCGTGTGTCTGTTAGTCTGTGATATCATCCTTCCCACTGATTTTTGAGTTCACAGACTAATTTCAGCCAAATTTTAAAGAGGGATTAGATAGCTCAGAAATAAATAAATTACAATTTTCTGAAAGCTGATGGCTGGCTAGATGAAAGATGACTTTTACCAGCTCTTTGCCTTCTGTTTGACTACTCGCTGTGCATGTAGGACTGGCACCTTGGTCCTTCAGAGAACGCTGAGGAGCAGATGTGTGTTGGAATTCTGTTAATTGAAAGCTAGAGTACAAATGACATGAGCAGGATGGAAACATGACTTGGTTCCACTGATTATAAAATAACTTGTTTAATACATTGAAAAATGTAGAAAATGTTACAAGCTCGTTGCTGATATACCAGCTATTCTACAAATTGGATTCTGTCATCTTTAGAGTCATTATCTGATATTTGTTTGATAGGTACCAATTATAAGCACAATATGCAAGTCATCTGAAAGGTACTTGAAGCATTTTAAAATTTCATTTAAATTAAATTCTAGTATTTCTTAAAGGTTGGTATCAGTGGTACCAAGGTTGTTACTTAGATGTCTTTATCACTGTTTGTGTATTTGCATATCACTGTTTGTATATTGAACTGAAGGGGAACCAGGCTATTGAAAGCATAACTATTTAACCTAAAAAATGGGAGAAGTACACAGTTGATCAAATTTGCTATGGACATGTAAAACTATTTATTCAGCAATAAAGAGAAAGATGGAAGCAGTTACTGCAAAGGGGACAAATCTGCTCAAGTATGCTCAATGCAGGTGTTGAAAGCATGTTATTTTCCACCTGTGTAAATTGTGGAAGTCCTTGTTGTGCTGTTCTTCTTGAACAGGCTGCTATTTAAATAGGTTTTAATTTTATAAAAACAAATGTTGCATCCATAAATTAAATGGTGTTATATAGTTACTACAATTTCATTCTAAATTTTATTAATGTACGTTCTAATAGAATAAAGTTCATAGAATCATAGAATGCTTAGGGTTGGAAGGGACCTCTAGAGATCATCTAGTCCAACCCCCCTGCATACGCAGGGACACCTAGAGCATGTGGAACAGGACTGCATCCAAGTGGGTTTTGAAGATCTCCAGAGAAGGAGACTCCACAACCTCTCTGGGCAGCCTGTTCCAGTGCTCTGTCACCCTCACTGTTAAGAAATTTTTCCTTAAGTTCCTATGGAATTTTTGGTGTTTCAGTTTCCGGCCATTTCCTCTAGTCCTATCAGTGGCCACCACTGAAAAGAGACCATCCCCGTCCTCTGCACTCCCTCCCTTGAGGTATTTATATACACTGATTAGATCCCCTCTCAGCCTTCTCTTCTCCAGGCTGAAGAGGCCCAGCTCCCTCAGCCTCTCCTCATAGGGCAGATGTTCCAGGCCCCTGATCATCCTCGTAGCCCTGAGCTGGACTCTCTCCAGTAGATCCACATCCCTCTTGTACTGTGGAGCCCAGAACTGGACACAATACTCCAGATGCGGCCTCACCAGGACTGAGTAGAGGGGCAGGATCACCTCCCTCGACCTGCTAGAGATGCTCTTCTTAATGCAGCCCAGGATCCCATTGGCCTTCTTGGCCACGAGGGCACACTGCTGCCTCATGGTCAACTTATCATCCACCATGACACCCAGGTCTTTCTCCGCAGAGCTGCTCTCCACAAGCTCGGTCCCCAGCCTGTACTGGTGGTCTGGGGTTATTCCTCCCCAGGTGCAGAACCTTGCACTTGGCCTTGTTGAATTGCATGAGGTTTTTCACCGCCCAGTTGTCCAGTCTGTCCAGGTCCCTCTGGATGGCAGCACAGCCCTCTGGGGTATCGGCTACTCCTCCCAGTTTGGTATCACCAGCAAACTTGCTGAGGGAGCACTCTGTGCCTTCATCCAGGTCATTGATGAATAAATTGAACAGGACTGGACCAAGGACTGACCCCTGGGGGACACCGCTAGCTACAGG